CATCACATTGTGAACCTTGAAGCTAACCTGTATTCTGTTTTTGTGTAACAGACTGCATAGTGAGAGAGACTGGCCTTGTCCAAGACCAATCACTTTAAACTGGACTCTTATGAGTTAATGCTGAAATTGGTTAAGAATTTGGGGGAACTGGTGTGAACGGCGGTAATTGTCTGTTTTGGACAAATGTAAGAAGGCGCATGAGGTTTGGGACGGGGCCGGGCAGAAATGAATATTGTTTGACTCTGTATCCCCACCCAAATATACTCAATTCCAGGGAGTTGGTCCTTGTATTAACTATAGGTAGGGGTCCTAGCTTGCTGTTCTGCCATATTGATCACACTTAACTTTATATCTTTTATTTTTTATTTTATTCTTATTTTTTTTTGAGACCGGAGTGTGTTGCTCAGGTCGCCCAGGCTCGGAGGTTGCGGTCCGAGGATCTCGGCTCCTGGCAAACTCCGCCTCCCGGGTTCTCGCCATTCTCTGCCTCCAGCCTCCGAGTAGCCTGGGACTACCGGCGCCCCGCGCTGCTCAATTATGGCCCGGACAAGTTTTTTTGTACCTTTTTAGTAGAGACGGGGTTTCACCGAGTGTTAGAACAGGACCCCGAGTCCGCAGATCTACCCTGACCTCTCGTGGATCCGACACCCGTCGACGGCCCAAAAATCCCAAAACAGTGGCCTGGGAATTACCAGGCTTGAGCCACCGCGCCCGGACCAACACTTATTTTTAAAAACAAACGAAAGATACAATTTTATGTTCAATTGATAAAATTATTTTGGGCTTCTTAATTTTTTAAAGTTTTGGAGAACCTCTAGTAATATTTGTAAATTTTTAAATTTATGATAATCCTAAAATCAGTGAATTAATCTTACAATACCTTTATAATATTTCAAGTATTTATATCTTTATTATGAAAATTGCTAATAAATTTTTTTCTGGTTATCACAAAACTATCTGAAAATGTCACATTTGCCACTTATCAAATCTTCATAGTTAATAATACTTTATCTGAATGGGGGTTTGTAATATGTATTATAATTTTTCATATTGTCTTAAATTAATTGTTTTATTATTTTATTTTATTTAAAAAAGCTAAACTTATAAAATTGGTTGTATATTAGTTTAGGGGAAATTGTTTAGTGATGAGAGAAAAATAATTTGCAAAATATAGAGACTAGATAATTTTTTATAATAAAAATGTTCTTTATGTTTGGCCCTTACCCTTTTTTTTGAGATGAAATTTTTGCTCTTGTTGCCCAGGCTGGAGTGCAGTGGCACAATCTTGGCTTATCACAACCTCCACCTCCCAGGTTCAAGCGATTCTCTTGCCTTGGCCTCCTGAGTAGCTGGGATTACAGGCATGTGCCACCATGTGCGGCTAATTCTGTATTTTTAGTAGACACGGGGTTTCTCCATGTTGGTCAGGCTGGTCTTGAACTCCTGACCTCAGGTGATCCACCCGCCTCGGCCTCCCAAAGTGCTGGGATTACAGGGGTGAGCCACTGTGCCCAGCTGCCCTTACCATTTTCTTTGAAAGTTGAAGTTGTAACTCTCTAATTAGAAAATATATTCATAAATGTGACTTGTAAATATTGAAATTTATGTTTGCTTTTTCTGCCTTCAGTAGAAACGTTTTCTAGCATCTATGTCTTTTCAAAATAAAGATGGAATCAGAATAGGTTGAAAACGTATTAACAAAATGATGTTGACAGAGATGATCTATCTGGTCTACCAGGGCATAAGAATTTCAAAAATCATAATCAGTAGAAAACCTCTATGTTCATTAATATTACAGAATATTGCTTGTGTTAAAATCATTTATGTTGGGCTAGCACAGTGGCTCACCCCTGTAATCCCAGCACTTTGGGAGGCCGAGGGAGGCAGATCACGAGGTCAATAGATCGAGACCATCCTGGCCAACATGGTGAAACCCCGTTTCTACTAAAAATACAAAAAAAAAAAAAAAATTAGCTGGGCGTGGTAGCGCGCGCCTGTAGTTCCAGCTACTCTGGAGACTGAGGCAGGAGAATCGCTTGAATCTGGGAGGCAGAGGTTGTGGTGAGCCGAGATGGCGCCACTGCACTGCAGCCTGGGTGACAGAGCAAGACTCTGTCTCAAAAAAAAAAAAAAAAATGTACGTTAAAAACTCTGCCTCTCATGCATTTAGTAGAGATAGTCAGAGGGCAGAGGCCTCCGCTGATCCTTATCAGGACACCTGAAGTACAAATGATATATTTCTGTTTTCTCTCAAACTCCGTATTGGATACAGTTAGTCTGCTTCTAATCAATATTATTACAGTAATGCACAGACACGGGATCATAAAAGAACTTGCAAGCTTATATTTTGCACGTGTGTGCATGAATTTGTAGACAGCTCTGTCATCTTGGCCAGAGTGTAGTGTCACAATTATAGCTCAATCAAACCTCAAAATTCTTAGCTGTCAGCCTCCTAGTAACTGGGACTTCAGATACACACCATTACAGTGGCTAATTAAAATTGTTTTCTGTAGAAATAGGCTTTTATTATGTTGCCCAGGCAGCTTTTTTTTTTTTGAGACGGAGTCTCCCTCTGTAACCAGGCTGGAGTGCAATGGCGCGATCTCGGCTCACTGCAACCTCCACCTCCCAGGCTCAAAGGATTCTCCTGCCTCAGCCTCCCGAGTAGCTGGGACTACAGGCGCGCGCCATCACACCCAGCCAGGTTTTCGCATTTTTGGTAGAGACGGGGTTTCACTTTGTTAGCCAGGATAGTCTTGGACTCCTGACCTCGTGATCCGCCCACCTCGGCCTCCCAGAGTGCTGGGATTGCAGGCGTGAGCCACCGCGCCAGGGCAATTCTATTTTCTTCTTTGATCTTTTGTGGTGCTTTTACAGTTTTACATCTACATATTATAAATCCAATAACAGAGAGTCATAATTGTTGCTTTTAATAGTGATAGGTTGCTTTAAAAATGAAGGGTAAAATTTAGTCAAATACTTTGGTGCTATGCAAATACACTGCTTATTTTTTTAAGTGTTATTTACAATTTTTACACTCTTCAGTTAACCTTGAATACAATAACAACTGTGGTGGTTTTTTGATGATTTCTTTTTTTTTTTTTTTTAGACGGAGTCTCGCTGTGTCGCCCAGGCTGGAGTGGAGTGGCGCGATCTCAGCTCACTGCAAACTCCGCCTCCCGGGTTCGCGCCAGTAGCTGGGACTACAAGCGCTCGCCACCACGCCCAGCTAGTTTTTTGTATTTTTAGTAGAGACGGGGTTTCACCATGTTAGCCAGGATGGTCTCGATCTCCTGACCTCGTGTGATCCACCCGCCTCGGCCTCCCAAAGTGCTGGGATTACAGGCTTGAGCCACCGCGCCCGGCCTTGTGATGATTTCTTCAGCATTTTATCTATGTTGATTAGCATTTGGAATTCTGTAAAAAATTTTTCCTTATTCTTTTTTCTTTTTTATTTATTTAAAGTTTTTTGTATCAGTGTAAATGCATGGGTATTTATTTTATTTGACTTGATTTATTTTAGAGGTCAGTGCTCTAATTATGCATTTGGATGCTTACATTGTTCCAGTTTGGACCATTGGAAATTCTTTCAGGCTGGCTCCCTTTGACATGTTCCCATCATTTTCAAAAATAACTTTAAAAAAAACCAAAAAACATTTTGAGGCTGAGCGTGGTGACTCACGCCTATAATCTCAACACTTTGGGAGGCAGAAGCGGGCAGATCACCTGAGGTCAGGAGTTCAGGACCAGCCTGGCCAACGTGGTGAAACCTCGTCTCTACTAAAAATACAAAAAATTAGCCGAGCATGGTGGCGCGCTCCTGTGATCTCATCCAGCAGTGCTTTTTCTGTGATTATTTTACTCCTGTAGAGTACTACGTGCTCGCAAACCAGACCTTCCTGATAAGTCCTGCTCTTGCAAAGGAAGCAGGGTGTTCCTTCCCTGCACAGGGAGGACAAAGGAGCCAGCTGCTAACAGCAGACCCTGGGGGCTTGTTTATGTGTAAACATCTTGAAAATCCAGAAAGTCAGGGAAAGGTCAGAAAAACAACAATGTGTCTTGTGACTTGGCAACATTCCACAAACGACTGTATAAAATAAAGCAGAGGGCGCCATTGGAGGCGGCCGCCATGTTTGTCTTGTCTTGTGGTGTTGTCTTGTGTGTTCACTCCTTTGTTTAGGAGCCACGCGGACCCCAACAACTCCTGCTGCCTTCTCCTCTTTCTATGGCCACTATTTGTTCCACCCTCGGAACTGAAGAGAGATGTTGGTAGGGAGAGGCTCTTCCTTCACCTCTGGCAGAAAAGGTTTGCTGGGGCCCTTCACATCGCTGACATCAGAGCTGCACTTCAATGTGGCAGCTATTGGCCGTGTGTGGCGCCTTAAGTGCGATGTGCTAGAAAGGTAAAATAGAGAGTTAGTTTCAAAGATTTAGTTCCAAATATTTATATGCTTTATTAATAATTACATATTTCTCACATATTAAAATGAAAATTTCTTGACATATTGGGTTACATTGTTACAATCAATTCAACCTGTTCTTGTTTTTTTCAAGTTTGGCTACTAGAAAATTTAAAATTCACATATGGCTCACATTTTATTTCAGAGGATTACCTCCTTTCTAAAATCTCAGCCTGCCTGCTCAAAGACCAAAAGCCAGGAAGGTCATAAAATCTGAAATTTTAAAATAATTATTATAAAATTATATTTTTTCCTTTGTGAATAGCCATGTAATATATTATTTATAAATGCATATAACTTTACACACAAGTTTAAAGGCAAATACCCTCTGGGGTGGGCCTGGCTCAGCTCTGGGAGGAAGCCCTGCCTGAGAAGGCTGCAGTCTAGGCTGTCACCCTTTCTTCACTCAGCCCAGCATCTGATCACATCTTCTGTCACTCAGGGCATGAGAGGGTGGGGTTTTAAACGTTATCCAATCAGCGACGCTGGGTTGGGTACCGTCCAATCAGGCATGCAGCTGCAGCGAACAGGACGGCTTCCCGGATGTGGCGGGGTCTTTGTCTGTAGCTGCAGCTGGAGCTCCAGGTCTCTCCTTCACTGCACTGTGTACTCCGCTCCCAGAGGCCCCGCTCCTGTGGCCCTGTGACCTGCAGTTATTGGGAGATCCACAGCTAAGATGCGAGGACCCCCTGGAAGCCTAGAAATGGTGAGAGTGCCGGGGCCGACATCCCGAGAGAGGGGAAGGGGCGGGTTGTAACCGGTGGGAAGTGGCTGTGGCGGGACTTGGGCCTCCCGGCAGTCAGCTTCACAGTCTGCGTCCCGAGTTCTCCTTGCTCAGCTCGGCCTCAGTCCCCTTCAGCTATAAGATGGCGGCTGCCCTGACTGCGGGACCCCGGGCGTGCTGTCTTTTTCCTGCCTAGTGACTGGGCCCTGACCTGGAGCCCTCTCAGGGCAGCTGTGGACCCGCAGCGCCGAGTCTCACCCGGATTGTGCAGGGACCACTGGAGGGTCCCCGGGGGAGAATCCTGACTCGGGGTGCGGGTTTATGAATGGGAAGAGCTTTGGTCCGTGAGGTTCCCAGTTCCTCTTTTCTTCTGTTGAAAATGTATAGGAGTCACCGTAAAAACACTAAAGTGTTTAATCAAAGAGTGATTCAAAAATTGTGGAGCAGCCAGCTGTGGTTTGTAATTTGTGGTTCATGGGCGGGGCTTGAAAGAAAGACTTATAAACAGCATGATGAAGAAAACCAAATTCAGTAATTGCTTAGGTTCAGATACATAGTTTTCTTAATTTGTAAAATAAAGGTGAAAATTTCCTGGTTATGTAATTAGCTGTTAACTGACAGTTTATAGTTGGTTAAGGCTGAATTTTGTTTCTCTCAATGTAGTAATTTACTACAAATGCACTTCAGTTAGTTTTTTTTTTTTTTTTTTTTTTTTTTTTTTTTTTTTTTTTTTTTTTTTTGAGACGGAGTCTCGCTCTGTCGCCCAGGCTGGAGTGCTGTGGCCGGATCTCAGCTCACTGCAAGCTCCGCCTCCCGGGTTCCCGCCATTCTCCTGCCTCAGCCTCCCGAGTAGCTGGGACTACAGGCGCCCGCCACCTCGCCCGGCTAGTTTTTTGTATTTTTTAAGTAGAGACGGGGTTTCACCGTGTTAGCCAGGATGGTCTCGATCTCCTGACCTCGTGATCCGCCCGTCTCGGCCTCCCAAAGTGCTGGGATTACAGGCTTGAGCCACCGCGCCCGGCCTAATTGTGTATTTTTAGTAGAGACGGGCTTCTCCATGTTGGTCAGGCTGGTCTCCAACTCCTGACCTCAGGTGATCCGCCCGCCACGGCCTCCCATAGTGCTGGGATTACAGGCTTGAGCCACCGCGCCCGGCCTCTGGTGCGTTTTTCAACTGTGTCCCAAGCAGTGTCTTAAATCTTACCCCCCCTCCACCATCTCTCCAGCCTCATTCTGGCTTGCAGTAAGATATTAAATTTCCAGTTCCTCCTGGCGTTCCCAAATGCCAGCTTTTCCTCCCTAAGTCACGTTATCACCTATTTGTCTTTTAGGGTACTTTTCTATGCCGTATTTTAATTAATTATTGTTTGACAAAGCATTAAATGACGCTTTTAAAAAGGTTTGTTATCTGTTTGTAACTATTTCCCATGAGAAGAAAGCAAAGAATAATCCCCTGACACTGTACTGTAAAAGTTCTCTGTGCCTCTTCTCCTTGTATCTTCTCTAGGCACAGAGATCTTATCAGAATGTTTTTGGGTCAAGGTATTCCTTTGAAAACTTTATGAGGTGATGTGTTCTCAGCCACCCTTTAGTTTTTTCTGGTCGTGAGTTTCAGTACTGTCTGGGGATAAACCAAGGTATCCACTGTGGTTATGTCAGCTAAAGTGCCTAGCGAATATCAGGTCCTGGTTTATTTTCTTCCATAGGAAGATCAGGGGTCTGAAATGTATCCTCTCAAGGGAGCAAGTGGATCCCTTGGGGCAGAGAGGAAGCTTCTCGTGCACTCTTATTTTGAAAAGGTAATCAGATGCTGGTACTGAGGGGGAAAACACAGAAATAACTTCTGCCTCCTGGATTGTCTAAGGGGGCAGAAATATAATGAAATAAATATAGTGAAAGAAAAAATAGTGTTAAAAAGCAAAAAAATTTGTGACAGAAAAAATAGTGTCCCAAAAGACCCAAAACAAACCAAACAAAAACCTCACTCCAGTGAGACGGTGTAAGAACTTGCAAAGTAAAATGCCTCTGGAGCAGCCACCAAGAAATACTGCAGTGTCTCCTGAATGGGTGGTTCTTGAGTACATAAGTGAGCAGGAGTGGGTGGAAGAATCTCTCAAGTGATTGAATGGCCTGACTTGAAACACGAGTCACACACATCTGTTATTTAACCAGCACTGCCACTTCTGGATTTGTCACCTTGAAGAGATTTGTTCACTTATTTTGACCTCAGTTTTCTAGCCGTAAATTTCATTATATTTGTAGTGCTTGAAAGGTAGGACAATTTTTTTTTTTTTTTTTGAGACAGAGTTTCACTCTTGTTGCCCAAGCTGGAGTGCAGTGGCACGATCTCGGCTCACTGCAACCTCCACCTCCTGGGTTCAAGTGATTCTCCTGCCTCAGCCTCCTGAGTAGCTGGGATTACAGGTGCATGCCACCACGCCTGGCTAATTTTTGTATTTTTTAAATAGAGACAGGGTTTCACCATGTTGGCCAGGTTGGTCTCAAACTCCTGACCTCAGATGCTCTGCCCGCCTCTGCCTCCCAAAGTTCTGGGATAACAGGCGTGAGCCATCACTCCCGGCCAGCAGGAAAATATTTACAAAGGGCATAAAAGAGATGGGTTTAAAAAAAAAAATTAATGTCTAATTATATATTCCATTTGTTAAAAATTCTCATTTACCTTTTTCTTTCCCAGAGTGAGTTTAAAAGTTTTCTCAGGTGTGTATTTTTTATGGTTAAGTGAAGTGAAACAATTTCAAGGCTTAGATTTTAGAATGCTAGCTACCGAAGAAAAGAATAGGGAAAATCTGTATTGTTTTGGCTGTAGAAAATGAATACGTGTCCATGAGAAAATGTAGATAACTGGTGAGTTACATAGATTCATGAAAACATCAGTTGCTCTTTTTGCAGGGTAAATTTGTGACAGTGAATATTTCTGTTCAAATCCTGTTATCTTGATTTCTGAGTTTCATGTTAAATTTTATAAGATGAAACTTGGTACCACCTAGAAGTGTTCCCATATGACTAACTGTTCACTACATGATTTTTAATGAAAACAATAAAATAATAGATATATTTTTCTTAAAGGAGTAGATACTTTTGCTTTTCTTATTGAGGTATAAAATGTAAGTACCTTAAAATTTCCTTCCCTTATGTGAACACTGTGAGTAATTTTGCTGGATTTTTCAAACACGTAGTTTCAAAAACCAAGTGAGTAACTCTAACATGGAAATTAAAGCCTGAGTCCAGTGTCTCAGAGCTAAGGCTAATATTGAGCCTACAAAAGGTGGTTATTAAAGGACCAGCTAGTTTATTTCTGGGGATCCTCCCCTGCAGATGTCCAGCCTACTCACCTCGGCCATGGAAGAAGCCTTTCTGCTAACAGAGCCCTGGAAAGTTGGGGACCCACAGGCAAATGCAGTTAAGGTTAAGATGAAAGGAGACTGAGAGGGTCTTACTGATGATGAAGTGTTATTGTTTTGAGGCAGTTTCTAGGCTTTGGAATATCAAAGTTAGGTTTATGTAAAAAAAAAAAAAAAAAAAAAATTTGAATTCCAAAGGAGTATTGCCACAGGAAAAAGTACCAACTATAAAAACTTTAAGGATTGCATAGTTTAGGCAAATAAGGGGTTTCTTTCCTAGGGAGAAGCAAACAAGATTAGAAAGAAAGTGGGAGGGGAGGCCGGGTGCGGTGGCTCAAGCCTGTAATCCCAGCACTTTGGGAGGCCGAGACGGGTGGATCACGAGGTCAGGAGATCGAACCATGCCGGCTAACCCGTGAACCCGTCTCTACTCAAAAAATAACAAAAAACAAAAACCTAGCCGGGCGAGGTGCGGCGGCTGGTTGCCCTGTACGC